GGAAAGGCATTGTATTTCTTTGTTCTCTATGTTCCCCCGGTAAAGTTGCAAAAAATGTGGGATTGACATTGGCACATCGTCCTCATCCTCCAACATCTCATGGTCACATGGCTCGGGCCGATGATGAGCACAAAATTCAGCGGACCCAACAAAGGATGCAATTCCATCCAGGCTTGTCCAAAATGGGGCTGGCATTTTTGGCAACTATTCCATGGGAAAAACAAGATTAAGTCATATAAGTCACGTGTCATGAGTTAGACATAATCAAAATCAACTGCAGCAACTCGCCCCTTCCCCACATGAAATGCCAACCCCCACAGAATATATTTGAACTATTCATCGTGGGGCACCCTCTTGAGGGATTATAGTTCATATCGAGTAAGCAATTATGATTAAGCGAGTTTACGACAATAGTGACAAGGAGGATAATGATCGAGGCGTTTAGCGTTTTCTCCCCAAATTCCATGCCAAAGTTAGTCTCCTGGGTTGGATGTAATAGTGATGTAATTATCTTCGGGACCCTGACACATGGGAGATCAAAAATGCTGCTGGCAGGTTTCAACCCGTCGCCTTTGCGAGCTACAAGGCTTTCTGCACATTTCAATGCGAAACTATACCGCTGCCTCACTGTTTTGGCGACGAACTCAGCCTCTTGGACAGTTGATTCTGAGATGGCACAGTCTGAACAGAACTCTCCAGGCCTCACAAAAATCGATACCAGACTCTAGAGAAGTGAACTTATCTCGAATCAACCTGGAGCATACTACGGCTTAAAAGACTTGCAGCTGGCGATGTTGCCCGCAGGCTCAGGAAAAACATAGGATTTTGTCCATCTGGTGAGAGATGGAAGCAGTTTAGTAGGAATATATATATATATTATGTATGTATAAAAAAAATGTGTATATATATTATATTATATTATATTATATTATGTTATATTATATTATATTATATTATATATTATATCGAATTATATTATATTATATTATATTATATATTATATCGAATTATATTATATCAAATTAAATTATATTATATTATGTTATATTATATTATATTATATTATATATTATATCGAATTATATTATATCAAATTATATTATATTATATTATATTATGTTATATTATATTATATTATATTATGTTATATTATATTATATTATGTTTTATTATATTATATTATGTTATATTAAATTAAATTATATTATATTATATATCTATATATTTATATATCTATATATTTATATATCTATATATTTATATATTTATATATTTATATATTTATATATTTATATATTTATATACACTTCTCGAAGTTTTGCATGCTTCATTGCAAGGGGGGATCCTCTCTTAAGAAATGTCCATCTTGCAACATCTATCCTCCCAGTGAGGTCCTCAGAATTCCAACTTCAAAAATATTGATCCTCCTGTGGTGAAATTGAAGGGACAGTAAGTTTGGTGAAATTGAAGGGAATCTACACCATTCGGTAAGGGTTTTGATGGGTTTTGTAAATTTTATACCATGGTTTTACCATGTTTTTTAGCCTCAAATAGGTTTCCAAAGGGTCTCCATAGGTCAGGTCTGCCCCTTTTTGCACTTCACCAGCCACGCTACCATCGCACCATCGCTACCCAAAGATGTGCTTCAGGGCCCGTGCGGCCGCTTCGCGGACCTTGGAGGCTGGGCTGGTTTCAGGACCCTGAATGGGTCAGCTGCAAGGGGGGTGATTCCGAGTTCAAACATGTTTAAATCATTTTAAATCTAGATGGAAAAGATGTTTTTTTTCCCGAATGCGTAGCCAGGGTTCCCGTTTCACTCTGGGGGTCTGGGGGTTGAGGGTGTGTTCGCTCGACGTTGCGTTCGTGGTCGCAACCGTTCGCAACCGTTCGCAACCGTCCGCAACCGTCCGCGCGAGGACCATATGGCCGTGCCTATGGGAAGTTCTGCAGGAGGGATCATTTTTGGAGGTTTCAGACGTCGGGTTGCTTCGTTTCGCGTGGCAGGCGTGGCACTTCGTGACATTCAGAGGTGTTTTGTAACGTGTCGAAAGTCGTTTTGTGTGGCAGGCGCAATACTTTTGCGACGTTTTCACAAGATGTGTTGTAGTTTTCGTGGCAGGCGCAGCACTTTGGACGTGTCCATCGTCATTTTTCGTGGCATGCGCAGCACTTTAGACGTGTCGTGTTGCGTGGATTTTGTAAATCGCATTGGCAGGGCTGCGGCAAGTGGCGACAAGGTGCAAATTCCGTGGCAGGCGTGGCATTTTGTGACATGTACTGAAAATTGACGGAAGGCTCGCACGAAACATCGATTTCGAGGTAGCAAATTTAGAGGTTTCTAAGAAAACCCATAGGAAAACGTCGATTTTGAAGCTACAAAGTGTGAAAATTCGAGGAAGTCTCGCACGAAATGCTCGTTTCGGTGCTCCCACGCGTCTCGTCTCGAGTCTCTGGTTTTCCCGTGGCTTCGCCGTGTCTATGGGCGAAGCTACAAAACCTGTCCTTTTGTCATGTTGCCAACTGTGAAAATTGCCGGAAGTCTCGTGCGAAATGCTGTTTTTTCTGCATCCACGTGTCTTGTCTCGAGTCGCTGGTTTTCCTGTTTCCTGCGGTGTCGCCGTGTCTATGAGGGAAGCTGGAAAACATCTCCTATTCGAATGTGTCCAAGCAGGTTGTCATGCCGTTTTGCGTGGCAGGCGTGCCACTTTTTGTGACATTCCAACCTGTTTGATAACGTGTCGACAAGATCAAAATTGGAGGAAGTCTCGCACGAAATCCTCGTTTTTTTTGTTTCCTGCGGCGTCGCCGACACACTCCACACTCTACACACCACACTCTACACTTTCCACTCCAGACTCCACACTCTACACTTTGCGCTCCACACTCCACACTCAACACTTTACACTCCACACTTTACACGCCTCACTCCACACTTTACACTCCTCACTCCACACCCCACACTTTACACTCCTCACTCCACACTCCACACTTCACACTCCACACTTTCCACTCAACACTCCACACTTTACACTCCACACTCCACACTTTACACTCCTCACTCCACACTTTACACTCCTCACTCCACACTTTACACTCTCACTCCACACTTTACACTCCACACTTTACACTCCAGACTCCACACTCTACACTTTACGCTCCACACTCCACACTTTACACTCCACACTTTACACTCCACAC